TACTGTGTGCAGCAGTGTGATTTCTGTAAGTGAGCTTTTCAACTATGCTCTTTACAGATATGGATATCCTAGCTTATTCAAAAGAAAGAGTTGTTTTCATCCCATGAGAATCCATGGAATTTAAACACACCCAGTTAAAGAGGGTTGTTACCAATAAAATGCTCTCCAATTCTCTGGAAACAATTTTAGTAGAATTTTAATAATTTTAGTGGGATTTAGTTTGAACACATAATATTTTCCTTAATGTCAGAAAGCAGCTGCTAAAACAGTCATACACACACACATACACACACTACTCCCTTGCATTTCCCTGTAAAAACAGCTGTTTCATGTTCAGCAAATCTTGTCTCTGTAACTAGGCTGTCTATGAAACACTTCTTTTCTTCCAGAATTCAAAACCAGAAGAAGTGGTATCATATTCTTTCACTTTTCATATCCAATTTCAAAGAGAAAACAGATTTCAAATAGATTTTTAAAGTGTTCTTTGACTTTGGAACTTGCTGTTTCCATACTTCATAGCAGTGTGGATTTTGGCAACCTTTGTACACATCTGCATTTTTTTCCAGAGGTATCTGATGAAAGATTATGGAAAGTTTGGATGGACTAATTTTTGTGATTATAATTGTAACTATTGATAACATTTCATTCTTCCTTTTCAAGTGTTCAGTGGATTTCATGTTTTATGTTCTGCAGTTTTGTGGTGTTGATGGGAAAGCTCACAGAGGAAAGGCAGACTAATTTGCTATAAACCAAATGAAAACCATAAGAAAGGAGTAGTCAGTCACAAAGAAGAGAGGAACTGTAAAAACCACACTGATCAATTTTGTTCACACTCTGGCTTCAATTAACAATCCTCTATAAAAAAACTATCCGTTAGCAAACTCATAATACCTATACTTCAGCAGTCTCATAAAAAGTAAACAGCATTGGCTTTTTAATCCTTCTGGTATGAGCAGGAGAATGTGTAGGAGGGAGGGGGAGAAGGGGGTGAAAGAATGTGTTAAGAATTACTTAACAAAACAGTTAAGTAATTTTAGCTATTTAAAAATATCTAACAATCTACAAACACTATAAGTGTTGTGCATCAGCAACAAAATATGTTATTGTTTATGAAGTAATACAGTGTATCTTGAATTGGAATATTCATAACAACTATGGGCCTTTGCAGACTGCCAGAAATAGTGCACATTAAATTGAGGCACTGCCCTGGCTCAGTGCTAGGGAATCATGGGAATTGTATTTTTTTCTGAGACATTGAGCCTTCTCTGTCAGGGAGCTCTGGTGCCACAATAAATTACAGTTCCCATGATTTCCTAGCACTGAGCTAGGGCAGTGCCTCAAATTAATGTGCACTATTTCTGGCAGTCTGCAAAGGCCCTATGTCTTGATTAGCTTTGAATAAACTTTGCTAGAATTGAAATCACTAAGTGGATTTAAGATATACTCATCCCATCATTCGAACTAGGCTGTGCTCTTGACACTGGTTTTCACATTGTTTTTGCTTGTTGACTTCTCTACCAGTCACATGGAAATCCATCTTCTCGCTGTTTATGCTTGGGATGGCTTCTTCTCAGACCATTACCTTTATCTCCTCCATTCCAACTGTCACAGATTTCTTTCTACTAGGCTTCCCAATTAAGGGCCTTTGCAAACTCCTAGAAATAGTGCAAACTGAGTCCACTTTAACTGCCCTGGCTCAGTGCTAGGGAATCATGGGAATTGTATTTTTTTCTGAGACATTGAGCTCTGACAGAGCTCTGGTGCCATAATAAACTACAGTTCCCATGATTTCCTAGCACTGAGTCAGGGCAGTTAAAGTGGATTCAATATGCACTATTTCTGGCAGTATGCAAAGGCTCTATAGCTTCTCTGACTTCCCCCTTTCTCTTCACATCACATCCACAGTGATCCTTCCATGCTGCAGCTCTGTGCTTTCCCCTCCCATTCTTTCCTACAGTCCCACTATCTCAGCTATTTGATACATCTCAAGTCTTTGGCTGGAATCTTGTTGGTCTATTACATTAGAGCAACCAAAAAGGTCAACAACCTTTTTGGGGGTGGGGCCAGTCCCCCTGTCCCCCAATGCCCCCGGCTGTGGTGGTGTGTGCATGCGTGTGCACATGCGCACTACCAGGAGGGCTCCCTCAACCACGCTGAGCGTGGGGTTCCTCCAGGAGAGCTCTCTCGACTGTGCCAGGCCTAGGGAGAGCCCAACGCAGCCACCGCGGCCCTCTGGGGTGCCATTTTGTGTTACAAAATGGCACCTGGAGTCTTGTGTGACCTTTCCCGTCATGGGGCAAAGGTCGCACGAGACTTTGGGTGCCATTTTGGAACACAAAATGTTGCCCCGGAGGACCCCCGCCTCTGCAAAAGGATGCAGCAGTCTGGCAGCGGCAGCAGCAGAACCGGGCAGGGGCCGGTTGACAGGCCTCGAAGGGCCGGTGCAGCCCACGGGCCATAGGTTACTGACCCCTGAATTAGAGGTTGCACTTTTTCCAGGGTTTTGCAGCACTGGTGAGCAAACGCAGGCTAAATTTGCCAGTTCCTAACAGCCTGTTTGCCTTCTGAGATAAATTTATTAGGCACTTTGAGGAGAAACTCAGTTGTATTCACTCAGAATCTGGTGCCACAAGTTATCACAGAGTCTGAGAAAGTGCCCCCTCCTGCCAAAAATATCTCTTCATCCAGAGATATGTAAGTACTACCATTACATTTCTAAGTTTCTCTCTTGGAGCAAGGTGCATGACTGGGCAAATTCATTGTCTGATCCTGTTGCAGTTTGGTTCCAGAATAACATTGGTATTCAACCAGGCTTGGTTTGCCTAACTGACAACTCACTCCAGGTGGATACTATTCTGTTGGTCCTTCTGGGGCTTCTGGGGCTCTCAACAACCTTTGATAGCTTTGATCGTGGTTATTCACTGGGGTCAGACATTATGGGTGACACAGTGACATTTGAGAACTCCTATTCAGTCTCATTTCCATTAAGATGAGATATACTACAAGATTCCATCTTCTCTTCCATGCTGCTCAATGTCCATAGATGATATCATTAGGAGCTTGAGAGGTGGGTGCTGGTGACACTCAGTTCTATTTCTCTTCAGCCATTAGTGTAAGCAGAAGGCTGAGGCTGAACTTTGTTGAGATGAAGTATTTGTGGAATGGTGATCCTTGGGTCCAAGAACTGGATAAATGATTTGCTGTGTTTTGCTAACTGCCCTCAAGTCAGTCTCAATTCATGGTGACCCTATGGATGAGACATCAAGACCCTCTGCCCGCCACTGCTCTGCTTAATTCCTGCAACCCCTTAATACTCATGACCTACTTTATAGAGTCCATCCATCTGGCGTGTGACCTTTTTCTCTTCCTACTTCCTCCACCTTTCCCAGCATTATTGTCTTTTCCAATGAGTCTTTCCTTCTCATGATGTGTCTGAAGTATGACAGCCTCAGTTTGGTCATCTCGGCTTCCAGAGAGGTTTCTGACTTGATCTGCTCTAGGACCCATTTGTTTGTCCTTTTGACTCTCCAAAAGGGATCTTCAGAACTCTTCTCCAGCACCACATCTCAAATGAATTGATTTTCTTCCTGTCATCTTTCTTAACTGTCCAGTTCTCACATCCATACAGAGTAAAAGGGAATAGGGATGTGCCCTACTGTCCTCCCTGAAAAAGCTTGGGAATTCACCCAGATCAGCGGAGTTCAGGCCTGAAATGCCTAGTGTCATCTTCAAATGGTGTAAATACTACATGATCCAAAACACACTGCAGAAATAATCCTGTTTGAAACCACTTTAACTGCCTAGGCTCAATGCTAGTAATTCTGGGAATTGTAGTTTGTGAGACATTTGGCCTTCTCTGTCAGAGATTTCTGGGCCACAATAAACTACATTTCCCAGGATTCCCTAGCACTGAGCCAGGGCAATTAAAGTAGTCTCAAACTAGATTATTTCTGCAGTGTGTTTTGCACCTATGTCACACTTTTCTTAACAACATTGTACTGGTTGTTTGTGCACTTCCATTCCAAATTCAAGGTGCTGGCAATCACATTTAAAGTCTAAACTTTCTTATGGAATCTATACTTGAATAAACACCTATCCATATATATGCCTGCCTGATGAGGTCAGCTCGAGGTTCCCTCTTTTGTTTTTACCAGTGGTGGCAATATACTGTGCGAAGATGTAAAAAGGGGATCTCTTTTGTGTTACCCCAGTTGTGGAATGCCTTTCCATTTGGGTGCTTATCTGGTGCATATGTTAGCTTCATTTGGTTGCCAAGTTAAAACACATTATTTTATCATAGCCTTTGTAGTCTAATGATTTTATCCAGTTTTGTATCTGTACATAGTTTTAACTATTTTAGCATGTTCTAATTTGGCAACACTGCAAATGATATTTTATTATTTTACATTTTGAATGTTTAAAGTTGTTTAAATTCTAACTTATTGTAGTGGTGGTGGTGAACATTGTCATCGTCACCATCATTTTGTTCCATACTTTACTTTCTTTACAACTACAGCACTAGTGTGAGGTGCCAAGAGATTTTTGGCCTTTGGTTCCTGTATCCAGTGGGGGCTCCTATATCCAATGTCCCTCATGTTTCTGCCCTCTGTGCCACCCAATACCCATGCCAGTAAGTTTCCCAGCCTTCTGCAGCATGTCTTTCCAAGTGCAGGACAGACACAGATTACCAATTCTGGTGGAAACAATAGAATCTGGGAGAAGTATACCACTGTTTCAGGGCCTTTACTTCCATCAGCTTTGGCCCTACTATTCATAAAGCTGCCACTTTCTTAAATTGAACCCTAACAGCAGCCAATATATTGGCTGGCTTAGGAGAACATTGTTGTTTTTGTTGTGTACCTTGATGTTATTTCCTACTTCTGGTGACCCTAAGGTGACTCTATCATGGGATTTTCTTGACAAGATTTGTTCAGAGGAGGTTTGCCATTGCCTTCTCCCGAGAGCACATGACTTTCCCAAAGCCACCCAGTGGGTTTCATGGCCAGGCGAGGAATTGAACCCTGGTTTCCAGAGTCACAGTCAAACACTCAAACCACTATGCCATGCTGGCTCTCAGGAAAACTATTAACAAATAAATATTTAAAAAAAAAAAGCTAGTCTGAAAGGAAATAGATTAGAAAACACAGAAGAGAGATATTTGGATTAGACAGGTCCCATAAGCATGAGAACTGTTAGCAGACACCAGGCATTATAGCTATGCCACTTTCTTACATGGAGGAAGAGAAGAGAAACATTGCCATCAAGCCACTGATGTAAGCCGCCAGAGTGAGTGGTTTGGCCCACTGTTGCAGACCAAATGTTAGACTAGAACTTTGGCTTGGACTAAGCAAGAAAATGCTCATATTCTTAATGTCTCCATGTTCATCTTATTTGTTATTGTTATTGGAATGTGTCTTCACATTGACTCTGACCTATGGCAGCCACGTCTTATTACAGAAGTATAAAAATTTTTAAAAGTTAAAGCCACATGTTAATTAATGATAGTAAGGAAATGAATGAGGCTGTATGTATATGATCGATTGCATATGATTGATTGAGTACTACTAGCATTTTACACATGTGTATGTTTCAATAACATTGTGTAGGTGAGCTCAAAAAACATGAGTTTGTTCATCCCCAATACATTTAGAAAAAAATGTCCAGGTCTTAGCTTTCAGCGGTCACTCTGAGGCACATTAGAGTTAGCAGTGTTTAAAAGCTGCCACAAGGTGGTGCTGATGCAACAACGTTGACCAAGTCTGTAGCTATTGTGCCTGTTAACAAGCTGAATGGATTTGAAAATGCTGCTGTCAAACAGATGTTCTTGTCTTTGATGCTGTGTCTCAGTTAAGGTGGGAATGATGAGGTTGGGAAGGTTAATAAATTTATTATGTGGCGGAAAAGTTATTTCTCCCTGCTTAAGAAGAGAAAAGCCATTATTTTTATAGCATAATACCAGCTTTTCTTTGTCCGTTTTGACACGGGGTTCTCCTAATCCTTTTCATTGCTTGTAGTTTTGTTATTCTTTGTGTGCAGTCCTCTTTTAGTTATGAGCAAGGAAAGCAGCATTCATAAAGAGCTTATTGTCATTGCTGCTAGGCGGATGGTAAAGAGCTTGATAAATTTAAATAAATCAGCCACCTAAAAAAAGAACCCAGATCCATTGGACACTGATTCACTGATCATTCAGCACTGCATACCAAATACAGAGAAATGCAAAGTGGCAATGATGTGAGATGATTGCAATTACTCTGGAGAGATGGTAAGAATGGAGGGGGGTTGCAACTTTTCTACTTTGATCATGGAAGACTTTATCTTCAGTGCTACACTGCATCTCGTTTTACCATCCCCCACAGATGCCATATTCTTCTCTGCTTATATATAATTCAAAGCTCTGGATGGCTCCATGTGATGATACTGAATAATTATCATTGTAGACTTTGTATTGTTTCATTGCTATCCATTTACTATAGCAGCAAATCCCAGCATTATGTAATAGAAGATTGCATTTCACTTTCTAAAATGCCTGCATTTTTTCCCCCTGGTGCACAAGGTCAGCCTCTTCAAAGATCAATTCAAACATAACTGCCAAGAGTCATGTTGACATTTAAGAACCCTGGGAATCATTACATTTGTCACTCTTAACCCAGATGTTGCATTTGGGTCACTAAATTTGCTAATTCAGTGCTCAAGCTAAAATGTTCACATTGGCAGCCTCTGACTGGCTTTCTAGATTGCTAACAATGATCCCAAATTAAGTACAACTAATGTTATAATCTTTGCAAATTTGTCATTGATGTCACTTTCACAGCTGTGAAACTGATTACTTATTTTAAACAATCCTAATGTATTTATGTATTGTCGAATAATTTATTTAGAAGGTTCTGATTTAGTTATAATGGGCTAAATCTAATTTTAATCCTACCTTGAGAAGACCAAGTAAAACTGATGGGACTTACATTGGTTGTGAATAATAACTCTCATTAAATACAATGACTAGTACTCTAAGTAATTTTTAATTTATCTCAGTGCTTTAAAACCCATTTAGTAATACAGTGAGCCTGCTGCTTCAGTGAGCTATACATCCATGGATTGGAGTGTTGGTGGATTGCCATGCCCCATATTATTCAATGGTGGTGGGTGCACATGGACCTACTAATGCAGACGCACACACGTTGATGCCTATTGAATACTATGAGGCATGATCCTTCACATTTTTCCTGTCTGTGGAGGACCCTGGAACCAAATGTCTATGGATGGAAAGGAGCCCCCTTCCCTCATATATATATTTCAAGGACTGCTCTACGATTGACTTCTGTGCTGTGGAATTTCTTCTATCTAAGCATCATTTTATCTCCATCCACATTGCTAAGCGTGCACTCATTCCAGTTTCTCCATCACTTTCTTTTTTTTTTTTTTTGGGACTTATAGTCAATTACAAGAAATCAATTACAAGAAAAGAAGATTACATGTAAGCATTGGGAACAACTTCTTAGTGAGATGTATTTAGCAATGGGATGGACTGCCTCAGAGAGAGGTAGATTCACTTTCTTTGGACGGTGTTAAACCAAGGTTGAAAATCCACCTCTCAGGAATGCTTTAACTATGGATTCCTATATTGGCTGGTGATTGGAATAGATAGCCTCTGGAGTTCCTTCCAGCTCTATGGTTCTGCAAATCAATTAGCTTTCTCTAATTTACTTCCTTTTCCCTACTTAGACCTGTTACTACTCTGTTTTCTTTCTTATTCCCAGGGCTCTGGGCACCTGGCCCACTAACAATCTTTTCTATGTTTTGTTCCTGACTAGCTAGATAATTTGCCATGGTTTTCTGGACCACCTATGCAGCTGATTTACAACATTACATAAGTTGTAAACACAGTCTGTATTCTTACACTGTATATTGTTATTCTAATGCAAGTTGATTCATGTGGTCAGAAAGGTGTGTGAGGCTTGAGTAGTAGGTGCAGAATATTGGATGGAGTCTATGGTAATGACCTATGGTGGAAGTAGTGGGAATGGAAGGTGCTGTCAAAGTGATAAGAGTGAAAAACAAGAGAGTCAGATAAAATTTGGGTATGGATGAAGTTAAATGGAGAAGGAGAGTATATTCAGGGGTAGCTGTGTGGGCCATTTATCAGATTCAAACAAAAATCTATGAGTGATACCTTTATTGGCCAACCAAAATGCACAATATACTTGCTGAAAGCTTTCAAAGAGTGTTGAAGAGTGAAACAGGGGGTAGGTTTGAGGGCAAATATTAAACTTTTAGTGCTTTGTTACATGCAACTCTTCCCATTTTCTTGTGTCCATTTCACATCATACACATTCAAACAAACCTTGAGTCATTTGTGACATCACTGCTACTTTTCCCTTTTTGTGATAAAGCTGATAAGACAGGGAAGAGGGAGGGTTTGTATGCTTTTTTTTCCAAATGAACTGACATGGCCCCAAGTGAGGTACTAAAGATCAGACCTCAATTACTTTTGATAATTAGGAGTCTTATATCTAGGACAGTTTGCCTTTGGTTTTGTCTCTCCTCCTCTCATATTCCACTTCACTCCCTGGGTGTTTTGTTGGATAGGATCCAAAGGTTTCTGCTATGTAGACAGGAATTTGACACTGGAACATTTACACTTAGTATTGGAGCACAGTGAACCCAACAAAAGTTCATGCTCCCAATAGGCTCATGTGCAAAATATAGATTTGAGTCCTTTTCTATATTTCCTTCTCAAACCAAAACAGTTTTAATTCACAAACTATTCCTTTTTTTATAGCTCCACTCCAACTTATGATTTCTCTCCTTGCCCTTCACAACATATTGTTAGATTATCTAACACTTACTTGTATTATTTTAGTTTCTTGTGGGAAGAGGATATTGGACAGATAGGCTTTTAGTTTAATTTAATCTGGCTCTTTTAATGTTTTGGTTTCCAGATGTTAACTCTAAAATTAAGTAAATAACCAATATTAGATGTCTTTTGCATTAGATAATTAGCAGTACAGAATTAATTTTTAGTTTTCCCGTGTTACTAATTTGAAGTTTAAATTGTTATTTACAAAACTTGAATCCACTCTTTCCAATCTTTTTATTCATCTCTAACTCTGCTGTTCTATTATCCATCTTAGGTTGGTAGCATCTCCTTTTTATTATTTTATTTATTTTTATGCCTCAGCCTATATGATATGGGTAATTAAGGATGTTATCACATCCTCTTTAGAAGGTCACTGTTACCCAGTACATGTCTCAAGATTGGAGCATGTGAACGTGTATTGACTAAACAGAATCATCTTTATCCCATCTTGCACCTATAGAAAATAGACCAAAAAAGGGGGAGGGTTAAAGAGGAAACATGAAATTTAACTAGTCCTTAAACCAACAAATTGGTTTAAGATATGAGAATGCATACCAACATCCATAAACTGGAAATGAATGGATAACAAATGGGATACAGAGATACATGTAATGAGAAAATAGAAATGCTAAGAGCAGGGGGAACAGTTATAGAAAGAGTAGAGACAGAAATTGTGGTACCAAAAGGAGAAATGGGCTATCTGGGAGATAAGAACAGAGAACCTACTGGAGTACCAAAACAAAACACAGAGAGTCATCTGTTTGGTAGCAGATGGAGGGCTGGAGAACACAAAAATCTGTGGGAGTCACAGAGAATGTAGCCCTGTTTTCTCAATAATATTTTGAAATGCAGAGAAGAATGTATTATAAAATGGATTAAAGAAATAAACACTAAGTTAAAATTCTGTGAAGAGTATACTAATCTGGCCACCTGAGTTCTATCTACACATGCTTTCTTTGTGAATATGGAATAACTCATAGAAATGGTTGTCACTCTACAGCTTCTCAGGTTGATTCAGCTACAAACATAGCCCTGTAAAATATGCAGAAATAACACCAATCAGATGTCAAATATGGGAAGTGGTATGTGATAGTTAGCACTTCACTCTCTCATCCCTACCAAGAAAGATCAAAACTAAACTAACATTCAGCTGGCCTGACAGTTGATGCCCTGGCTGAATGGAGAAGTATCAGAGCATAAGCAACTGAGAGCCTGGG